TAGAATAAATGTGAACTGGTGGTTGTTAGATTAGGATTTACTAACGTTGTTGTAAATATTGAAATCACTATAACAAAATCAATTTTGAAAGGAATAAAAACTTTTTTTTTTCTTTTTTTAAAAATAGATCAGTTATGAGAACCGGTATATTAAACTTTGGTCAACATATTGGTATTTCCATCGATATTTTCATGTGTCCATGAGTTAGCATCATGAGGGTTAGATCGACATTTCCATTGTGCTGCAAAAAATATATATATATATATATATATATATATATATATATATATATATATATCAATAAATTATGAAAAATATCACCAATATAGATATAATAATATTACTAATCGTTTTAAATTTATCTAGAAATGGTGAAATACTTATTTGTTAATATAAATATTTTTGACATTTTATTTTTAATTCTATAACCTTTCTAAAAATACTCATCGACATGTATATTTCCATGAAATTGAGACTTCGACATTTTCATCAATATTAATATTTAAAACCTTGATTAGAACACACTAACAAATCGGGAAAAAAAATAAAACACAGTTATCTAAACACTTTTCTAATAGAATTTTGTTATAAAAAGCTTAAAGCTATTTTTTTATCTTTATTTTATTAATTATATCATATAGTCCTCACATTGCTTTTTTTTTATTTTAATTAAATTATAAGTTTAGAATTCTAACTTTATGATTTAAATTGTCCCCCTTTCCTTTGCAATTTGCATCTATCTAAATAAATAAATAAACTTTAACCAAAGTACTTATTCATTCAATGCCCGATTTAACCCTCAGCTTAAAAGACTCATAACATTGGTCCTCACATTGAAACTTTATTAACCTTTTTTTTTTCTTTTGAAATTTGAATGCTTTTTTTTTTAATTGAAAACTTCATATGGGGCAACACAAATGTGAATGTCATGTGTTGGAAGGCGCTTTTACCGTAACACTTGATTGGATCTTGAAGTGCACAGGTGCCGTAAGGTATTAGTTTCCAAGTTTCATCATCTCCGACACTCCCATGCGTCCGAGCCGACGTCTTAGGTGGTCGAGCCGACTTTGGTATTTTACAAGTTTATAACTCATCTCTCATGATGAACTGTCTGTTCTAACCTCGATTCAACCCCAGACTCCGACAAATTCCACGACAACACGCCGTAATTCACGGCAACCTTAAAGAGCCATTGAGGCACTGTCGGGAAGGATGTCGGAGAGGTCGCCTATAAATAGACCAATTCGCTTCACTTTAAGGTACGCGAACAACTCAATTCTCTCTCTTGAGTTGATTTGGACATTCACTAACTTCAGCATCAGAGTGCTAGTCTGTTTTGCAGGTCTTCTACATTGCATCAATGACTTTCTATCTAGTTCATCCAAGCCGATCCAAAGCTAACTGAGTTGATCAGATCAAACATCATGTGTTGTGCTAGCTAGATAAACTAAATTTAAATCTAATTAGGAGTAAACTTGACATACAATAAAGTAATTATGACATTTAAAAGACTAGTGTATTACCACGTGCAATGCACGTATAAATTTTTTTTAATTATAAGGTAACTTAAATTTTATATAATTTCACGTAAAATATTTTAAGTATAATTATTTTAAAAAATAATTAAGATTAATTTTTATATATATTTATTATTATTGACAGCTAATTACTAATAATAAAATGTACTATTTATAATTATTTTTAAAATATATTATTTATAGTTAATTATTAATGATATATTTTGTAAATAAATAAATTAAAAGTAAAGGAAAAAATTATATATTAATAAAAAAGTAAATAGGCATTTTAATATTTTTATTTTTAAATTATTTCAACCTAATATGGGTCCTTTATTTTATTTTTTTAATATTTTGTTTGTTTATTAAATATTTGTTTAGGGCTGAGATTTTGTTGTATATGTTGAATTTTGTAACTAAAACTAAATTATTTTATTGATTTAATTTTATATTATAATTAAAATTATTAAAGAAAAATTCTTCAAATTATAATATTAGAAAATAAAATGACCAAAAGTTTTATATTCCACCTTTTACGATTCTATACAAATTATTGTTTATAATTAATTTATTAATTAAACATTTTTTTAAGTATTGACTTCTATGATTGTTTTTTTTTTCAACAATAAGAACATGAGCTTGTAATTATCTATATTTTAAACAAATATTCTAAATAAAATTGCTCAAAAAAGAAACATTCCAAATAAAAAAAGTACACTTAAACAATAAAAAACATTAGTAACAAAAAGAAAAATCCAAATCCTAAACTAAATAAAATTGCTAAAAAAAGAAACATTCCAAATAAAAAACACACTAATTAGAAAAATAACAATAGTAACAAAAAAAATCCAAGTACTTACTATACACTCATCTTTTAGAGTAAATATGTTCATTCTTGAAGATTGCTTGACAGATACTATTATTCAACTTTGTAAAATTGTGGAATGGTAATGTTACAAACCTAGTATTCGAGATATGTAGATTCAACATATGTCTCTCTTGCAACTTGATGAATATGTCACAAATATCTCGAGATGTTTTCAAGATTGAATCATCTTTGAGAGATGTTTCAAGGAATTAAGAATAAAAAAATATTGAAACTTGTGAAAAACATGTAGAAGAAAACCTATTTTTATAGTAGTAGAGGATAAAACGTTACAAAAGCTTCTCAAATTCTAAAACTCTTGAAATTCTAGTATGAATTTTAATTAAAGAAAAAATTAATTTTATGTTGTTGGAAAACTTTTTGCATTCTAACCTTTTATATTCCATGCATTTATAGTATTGATAATTAATAATTAATAATTAATTTAATATTTGTAATAATATATTAATGGCATAATTTGTAAATTTGTAAATTTAGTGAAGGGCAAAAGTGTCTAAAAATGTTTTTTCTACATCCTACCTTTTTAATATAGTATAGATATATATTTAAATATCATTTAAAATTTCTAATCTCATGTGAAACTTAATTTATAATTAGAAAAATTAAATATAAATTATCCTTTTCGTTGTATTCAATATTACATCTGTCTTAAATTTTAAAAATAGTTCATAATATACTATATTGTTTATCATTTCTTTTCAATTTTCACACTAACATATTTTAAAAAATGTAGTATAAGAATGTTAAATAAATGATACAATTTAACCTTCAAATATCTACTTTGTCATAAAGTTTTAGAAAATAATACTTTTCCTATTGGTTTTGGGAGAACTCACCAAAAAAAAAAAGAAAAGAAAAGAAATATCATTCAATTATTAATAAAAAGATTCAAAAAAAAAAGGTATATCAAATCATCTCTTTTTCTGAGTCTATGACAAATATGTGTCGATAGCCTTTTATAATCTTGTCATGTGCCAAATGAATCCATTTTTACCATTTTAAGAAAATTCTCTAATTATTTAAAAAGAATAATAATTTTTTTTAATTCAAGGTTCGTGGAGTGGATCGAGATGAAAATTTCAATAATTGATGCCTTATCAACTGAGTTGTGTGAAAATTGACAAAAATATAATGTCAATAAGGTGTCATT